CAATAACAGGACAGACACATGAAAAACGGACGTCAATTTGTTAAACACATGTGTAAGTGACCTTAAGAGAAACGAGCGGTTCCGAACGGAGAGTGCCAAGTCATCAAGCTTCACTTAATTATAAATAATAGGCGAACGACATAAAGATCGTGTTCATAAAAAATAATGACTTGGACATAAGCGTTCTCCAAAAGTATATTTGTGCTATCCAAATACGTGTTGTTGTCCATCTGTTGAGAACGCAAAAGTCAGCTGAAAAGTTAATATCAATAACACTAAAACAATTCCTCTTGAAGAGAATGCTAATTTAATAAGCGATACATTTGGTTGAACCAACGATATTTCCATACCGTAGACGAGAAAGTCCATTTTAAACTTGTCCACAGTGTTCCGTAGCGCGGTTTTGGTTTCTATCTATTCAGGAAGACTTTTGATTCAGACCTTCTTGCATCCCGAAGGACGATATCATTGCTTCTAAGTCATTATCACCCTCTCAGTTAACCATCGGTCAAGTCTTACTGACGCTTATTCCTCACCATTTCGATCTCTTTAAATGTGTGTTTTGGTTCTAAGTACAGAATTTTGTCATCTAGAAGAAAACCACGACACATGACGCCATCTTTATTTTCGATGCTGCGATCGAAAAACAAACTTTTACCTACCCCGTAGAATATGCAAAGGACCAAAGAAATCTCTGGGGAGTAGGAAAGAGGCAATTTCTTTGTATTTTCAAAGGCCACTTGCCTCACCTACCCCGCAAGGGAGTTCATATACGCCCCCGGCTACCCCTACANTATTCAAGGCGACATCCACGCTTTTCGGCTCACAGGGCTGCTCTGATGACAAAAACTGACTTGACTTATCCAGCATTTTCTTTTAGATTTGTAGATTTCGCAGTTCAATTCTGCTTTCGTTGTAAGTGCAAAGGACCAAAGAAATCTCTGGGGAGTAGGAAAGAGGCAATTTCTTTGTATTTTCAAAGGCCACTTGCCTCACCTACCCTGCAAGGGAGTTCATATACGTCCCCGGCTACCCCTACACGAAGTTAACAATGGAAAAGTTCAACAGATTTCTGTTACCGTCTTTTAGTACGTCGTCATATTGTGTCCAGCTGACGAAAATATTGACATCTGAGGGCCAGGTTTTTGATCAGGAACTAGTATTTCGTCTCCTTAAAGTATCTTTCCCAATATTCTAACTTCAATGGCCCTCCGTCCTACGGACTTTGCACTAAAAACCTGCTGTCAGCAGTCTATCTATTTGCGAATATCAACATTTTCACAGCCAGTTAAACTGACAGATGTCAAACCGACCCACACTACGTTTGTACTCTCTTGAGCCATCAAGTTATTTTAAGGTTGTTCAAAGCTTTTGAGATCCCACCTGGGTTCAGAATTAGCAAATCCTGTATGGAGATTTTAAACCACGTGGACAGCCCAGGAGACTTCAATTAATCTCAAGGCAACGAACGTTTTGAATGTGAAAACCCAAAGAAAAAAACTACATAGAAATAATTTCAATACTTGACATGTAAAACCCAAAAAGTAAATTAAACCTAATTTAGAATTGACTTAATTGCAATTACGAGAAGCTCAAAGATTCATGTGCGCTTACAGTTAATTTTATAGCATTTTTTATCAGATGCGCTTTCCCGAAAGGCGAAGCAATTTCACTATCAATCAATATTGTCGATATAGGAAGTTCTCCATTGGTTCCCTCAAACAAACAACTCATAACTACTTATAAGCGTCAGCGAAAAGTTGATTCCGAATTTCAGTTTATGGTTGGCAGAGTTCATCCGGTGAAGTTCACAACACGACAGCTCAAAGAAGCGGAACAAGGTAGTCGAGGCCCAAATATTGCGCTGGGAAAAGATGAATCTAACAAGTCATAACGCAACAGCGAACAAGACCTACCAAGCTGATTCGTTGTTTCCATGTCCGCTACTGGACAGATTCCTCGAAGAGACACGAGGAACACTGGATATTATCTACATTGTAAATTCTGCGATAAATGCCATATTTTCCTTAACAGCGGTCTTTACAAATGCGCTGGTCATGGCGTCAATTTGGAGAGCTTCCTCGCTCCGCTCGCCTATGTACTACCTTCTTTTTGGCTTGGCGGTTTCTGACTTCGGAGTGGGGCTACTGGCACAGCCATCTTATGTGTTGTACAAGGTGGCTGGTTTGTATAAACGCTCACAGCTCAGTTGTGTAGCTGGTATTTCGTTTGTGCTCATCTCTAACCAGCTATCGGGAGTTTCTTTTCTCACTGTGACTCTCATAAGTTTGGAGCGAGTCCTTGCTCTTTATTTTCATCTCAGATACAAAGAACTCCTAACGCTTCAAAGAGTCAAGCTCGCTCTCTATGTCACGTGGCTTCTAAGCGCGAGTGCCGACATAGCTTGGCTTACGAGCTTAAAAGTTTACTATTTCATTGGGTCTGTTGGCTTTGCCATTTTCTTGACTACAACATTGCTCGCTTACATTATGATCTCCCGTACCGTCAAAAGACATCATTTACAAATTCAACGACAGACTGTAGCTGTTTTACACCTAAGGACCGCTTCTTCGCAAGAGAACCCGAACTCACGAGCAAACACCATTGAAAGAAGCAACGACGATGCCGTTCGTTTCAGACATTTGTCAATGGCCATGTTTCTTGTATACCTTGTTTTTCTGCTTTGCATACTACCTTTCATGTGTGTTCTTCTCATAGCATCGTTTCACGGACGAGACACAGCAGTAGAGACTGCATTAAACTTCACAATGACCTTGGTGTTTATCAACTCAACATTGAATCCATTTCTTTATTGTTTCAGATTGAAAACTCTTAGGAGAGAAGTTTGGGACACGCTGCGAGGTATAGCCAGCATATGTATGTAGCAGGGCACATAGAACTGAACGCTAATTTAATTTCGACTCAGCTAGAAAGAAAACAAAAAAAAAACAGGTGCCATGTCTGATATGCTTTGGAAAAGATAAAGTTTTCAAAGTTCAAAAGCTTTCATCGTATTCTATAAATAGGGAACACGCTTGAAAAGTAAAGATGGGTACACTAATCTAGATGAATTAAATTTTTAATCAGGCACGCAATAAAAACTAGAAACCTATGGCTAAAATGGCATACATTGACGCTGTTAAAAGAAGCAGAAAAAAGCTAGGCAGCAATGTTAAAGAGAGTGTAAAATATACAACGATTGATGCCTTGTAAAGGGAAGATTATTCCACCTTCTGCGTGTCTTATCACGATTCATTTAGGTATGGAGCTTGTTTTAACAAAAATTTAATAAAATTAATTGATTCACTTACTGCCTCACATGCCAACTTTAATGATAGCTAGTAAGCTTAAGTAAGAAATTGCTGTTCTTAGCATTACAACGCCAAAAAGAGGAAGCTTCTAACAAAGTTCTTTAGCTTTGGACAAACAGTTTCATTGCTATAAGATGCAAAACCGCGAAAATTGTGCCACACAGTAAGATGAAAATAACATGATTTACACGAATAAGAAAATAAATTTTGAATAAGAGAATTAAATTAGTAAAATAGCGACAAACAATTAGCACAGTGATATCTTTCACTGAGTAGGCAGACCTGATAGTTTTCAATGTAAGTTGCGATATCGGAAATCTTAAAAGAATAGAAGTTTTTCTGTGTATATTTTACGTCCATTTGATGCATTTTTGCTTTTAGTTCGACGCTTTGCAAATGTCACATTCAGGTAAATTAAATAAACAAAAATGGAATAACATACTGAAAAATTAGCTTGCCAAAGCAAGCTGTTCTTCTTTTTTTCCGGTCTGTAGTCCGCGAAATACAATAGCATTGTGGGCGGCGCTATGCCTGTTGTCCCAGGCAACGATATCGCAAATGTTTTATGCTGTACGTTACCTTTAAGGAAGCTTCAGAAGTTAATGAACCGTTATTAGCGACAATTCCCACCAAGTATCTAAAGAATGAAAATGTTAAAAAACAGACATTAGCATATTAAGTTAGCCAAGAGAAAGATCACTTCATCTTAGAGAAGCCAGACATGTCATGATATGCTAACAAGGCAATTTTCTTTGATGTACAAGATTCGCTTCAAATTGAAGGGAAAAAATCAGCAAATGTAAGATCGAAAACCTAACAAAGAGGTAATATTAAACAACAAGAAACAAAGATGGGGGAGGATTCAGACCTAATGCGAACCACAAACTTGAAAAAAAATTTGGGCTCAAGTTTTTAGAAGCACTCTCTGGTACACAGCTCCATTGAAACTAATAATAAAGAAAAACGTCAGCTGGAGGAGGATGTCTTGATCTGCCGACAAATTCTCCAAACCGACATAAAGAGAAATCTGTAGAATAAGTAGGGAGAATTGATATTTTGAGCTTGAATATAATAGACAATATGAACACGTCCAGACAATATTTCGCTCTCCCCTCCCCTATAATCGGCATCCCATCGTTGTATCACGCGTGGATTTTTTATGTTCAACAAAGGTTAAAGGAACTCAGTCTCGGTATTTTGAGTTATTTTGGCCATGCACAAAATTACCTTTGAATTGAAGGAAGTCTAAAAATAGCAGTTAACTAAGATAGAAAAACACCAAAGAGATAATAATCAACCATAAAGAAACAAGGATGGAGAAGATTAACACGGATTACAAACGACGAACTTGAAAAATTTAGGCTAGGCTTTTCAAGATGCACAAAGCTCCTTTTAGTACCAATTTTCTCCATGAAACTGAGGTGGGTAAGTAAGATAGGTAAGTATTTATAAGGTTTTGCTTCCAGAGGGAAGGATTTATTAAGAACCGTGCATACCTCGTAGAAAACTTACAATTGGAACTTGGAGCAAAAACGCGACAAAGAGCGCAAGTCGTTAAATCTTACCCATAAATACGTGCAAATCCTGTTATAAGTGCTGTTCCGAATCTAGTCTTAAACTCCTGGAATTGACTCCCGTCAACAAGCCGTGCTAATATCTACATATGTACCGAATAAAACAAACACATATGTATGGTCAACACAGCTTCTAAATACAGTGTCTTTAATGTACCAATTAAGGGCAAAATAACGGCTTGAAATTGAATGCCTTCCTCTCCCTAGTTTCTCCCTCGGTAACTTTCCAGTCCCTTCGCACTTTTTCTTATTAGATTAAAGAATTAGACAATAGCACGCATGAACTCAACTAAACCTCAAATGACTACTTAAATATCCCTGAAATATGTCATGAGACCCCCTCCCTCCCTCCCTCCCTCCCTAACTCCCATCACAACTAATGACTGAATAGGTTTTCAACAGAAGTTACTACATGTAAGCTACATGACAAGTCAGGCTAACCCGAAGGTTTAAACGGAATAGTCAAATTTGCAATAAGAACGTCTCCAGGCCTAAATAGTTTTTAAATTACCTTGTAATTAGTTTGTAAATTAGTCTTGATATAATTCATTTGGACAATTTTTTTATTGTACATGTAATTCACTATGTAAATTCCACACGTAATTCAGTCACATGACTGTTAGGTGTATATTTTTTTTTATAAATGACTATAATAATCACATTTATCTACACAAGATTTTTTCTTTAATTTGTTTGGACAGGCGCTTGTTTTGAGTCCTTATTAATCTTTCAAAGTTCTTTTCAGCAGGCTTTATAGAGACGCTATATAGTTTGAAGCCCGTTATCAAATTTCATTATCAAGAGAATTTAATAACTTGAGTAGGGCAGAATAAGAAAGGGATAATCTATAGAAATGTTTAAGTGAACTTCACTTTTTATCAGCAGTCTGGACTTCCTTACCTGGTATATAGGATATTGTGTACTATCATAAAGTGCCAATGTTAAGAGATCTTCACTGTCATACAAGGGAGCTTGCACATCTGTAAAAACATTGACAAGACAGAAAGGTGCAAGTTAGAATACTAGGGACTGACTGACTGACTGACTGCAGACGGATGTGCAGACAGACAGATGGATAGACAGACTGACTGACTGATGATTGATTGACTGATTGATTGATACATTCATTCATTGACAGATTGTTGGATTGACAGATTGATTGTGCAAGTGAGTGATTGATTGGTTGACTGACTGACTGACTGACTGACAGACTGAGTGACTGACTGATTGACTGATTGACTGATTGACTGATTGACTGATTGACTGATTGACTGATTGACTGATTGACTGATTGACTGATTGACTGATTGACTGATTGACTGATTGAAACCTCTCTGGTCCTTAACAGCAAAATAAAATTTCTTGATGCTAAGTTTAAGACTGTAGGCTGACCTGATGGAGTGGCAGACTGCTCTGTATTCAATGTAGCAACAATAGTTCTTGTCGTTTCCAATGCACTTTCTTCATCTTCTTCAAAATGATCTGTACATCCACTAACACTAAAAGTAAAACAGGCATACATGTAGCCACTTACTGATTACCGGTAGTAGTTAGGTAGTATGCAATTTAACCACAATGCATGCAGAACTTGCTACACACACTGGCCCAAATCTATCCCAGACAACCACAATATAAGCTTAGGCCACCCCTCATCAGATGACTTTATACCAACCATTGAAACTGACATTAGTTTGTTCAAGTACACATCATACAAATTTAATCTATACCAACCTAGAATGCATCATGGCACCACCTAAGTCTTCTGCAGAAACAACCTCACCAGTGGCAGCCTAGAAAACAAATCAAAACGATTCAATTCTGCCATTCAATTTAATGTAAAATTCCTCAGCTATCTCTTGAGAAACTACCACAAATAGTAAAATAGATACTGTGTGAAATGTTCAAACTTTCTGTCAATTTTTTCTCCTGATTTCCTCAAGATTTGGTATCCTGATTGGTATCCTCATTGTGAGACCCTGAGAACAAGATTGCTCATTGACATGGCAGTGGGGTCTGCAGGTCACCTCACCCAAAGAGCAATGTACACTATATGCAGCTGACTGAACTAAAATACACGTTCTCTTAGAACATCGTTTCCTTGAAATAATGTACTTCTCAAAAAAAAAAAAAAGCCCAGTAATGTTCTAACAAAACAAATATTTTAATACGAGTTTTTGTAGATCAAAATTATAATATTAAATCTCTTGATTAATGAAGTAGTACCTTTACTAATGGAGGACCACCAAGAAATATTGTGCCAATTTTGTCAACAATAACAGCCTCATCAGCCATTGTAGGTACATAGGCAGCACCAGCAGTACATGATCCACAGACAACACAGATCTGTGTACAACAAGCCAAAAGATCAGAACAAATTCTCCTTAATGTTATATTTACTTTTGTATGACTGACTTTGGGAGAATCTGTTGTTAGATAAAACCAACTCTTCAGGTTCATAATTGTAAAATTTTATTCTACTATTCCTAATACCTAAATCTTTAAAATACGCCGACAAAAAAAAAAAAAAAAACCAACAGACAGGGTCCCCATTTGTGGTTTTAAAGAGTTCATTAGTGAAAGTGGATGCTGCATTTTGTTTCACATATAAATTCCTATTTTAACCAGTTTTGATCACATGCATTTTTGTAATGAGAATCAAGGATATTTCAGTTAAGTGTTTTCACTTTTCGGAGAGCAAGTGCTTTGGAAGTGATGTAATGAGATACCAATGATTCTATGAATAAACAAGTTTAAATAGTATGAATTGACCAAATACGATTATTATACCATTGAACTAAGCAATTTGCACATGGAATACCAAGTCCAGGATGACAATGACGAAGGAAAGAATGTACCATGTAGAACAATGTACTATGGTTCGTCAAACTCAAGCCAAGGGTATAGACAGAACAGGACTCTTCTCACTTCTGAATCAACGTTTAAGGATGTCATGATAGCCTTCCACTGAGCAAAGCAGTCAATATCCAAGAACAATTTGCTCAGGAGTTAAAACTTCAAAGGACTAAAAACCAATTGAAATTGAAATGTTTTATCATTACTTTGCTTTCTTAAGTAACACTACATGATTGTATGTATCTTTAACTTACAGTTGGAACACCATTCATTGACATCACTGCCTCATTGTAAAACACGCGACCACCAGTTTCAGGGAATATTTCAGCCTGTTTTATAGGTAAATAATTTGCTTAGAATGGGGAATAAAATTATCACATGAATATGATTGTCTTTCTAGCCCTTTCATAACATATCCATGTAAAAATTCTAGAAGTAACATATCAAACACGCAAGACCAAGTTTGACCACATTTCTAAACACTGAGAAGAGAGTTGAAAATGTGGTGCATAGTGAAGTATTTTTGACGAACTTTGAGGCATTTGGAAATGCGGTCAAACACTATCTTGAGTGTTTGATATATCTTCTCAATCAAAACTAAAACTAAGGACAAAACAGACAAATAAAATCATAAGAATCTGTGCTAATTAAGATCAGATATCCAAGTGCCATCACAATCATGATTTCCTTTGGTTAAACTTGATCTGTACATGTACAACAGACAACAAAAGTAGTTGAGGCACTTTTAGGAAAATGACACTTTATGATATTTAGCCCTTTAATTTATTTCATATGCATTTAGTGATATTTCTCTGATACCCCCTGGAACCCCAACTCAGTGTTGTGTAGTGACTGAAGGACTGCAGCAGAAAGGGGGGATAATGTTTTCAAGACGCTTGAAAATAGAATACTAGGGTATCTAAAAGACGGTAATGCTGTGGCATATTCTGTTGATACTGACATATTTTACGCCGTGATTCATCTATCTGCGTGTTCTAAGACTTACATTAACCTTTATTTCTTAAAGTAGTGTCAATTCATGGTGTGTAACTTAAAATCTGTCCTTGTATGCATCAAATTCATGCATGATAATGCATCGATGGCAAGGTCTGACCAGGTATCAAGACAAGAAAGCACATAGTGATATCATCTATGTTTGGACGTAAAACGATACACATCAACCTCCCCTTTACCAGAGCACAAAACCGAAAGATGTGGAAGTTGTAGGAGCAGAATTTTAACTTATAAAGTCTGTACTGGTACGCATTAAATGTCTCGAATGTTGACAGACTATGTCAAGGACACGTCCATCGTGATGCATAACGAAGATTTCTCTTCACTTAAGAATTCGACTAAGGAGACTAGATTACTAAGAAATGACATAGTAAGTTTAAAATTAAGATGTCACAATTAATTGTCCAGATTTACAAACTTTTACATACTGCATTAAGAACAAAAGCAAGAGTTGTGAAAGTCAAGCACAATCACCTTCATAGCATTTTACAGGTAAATCCAAGCAAAAACATTACCACTTATCTTTCTCACTGGAATCCTGTTCGTGGTGCGATGCACGCTGGTAAAAAGTGACACAGTGCACTCTGGTTATATGCAATGCATTCTGGTAAAGAGTGATGAATTTGAGAATTTGTACCCCCTTCTATACATTCTTCTTAAATCGTGATTATGTTTCTGCTCACTCGCTAGACTCGCTCCGCGGCAATTAAACTGTTGTGTCTCAACATGTCTGTGACTTATTGTAGCCATAATTATAATAAAATTGCAAAATGTACCTGCAAGGGAAGAAATGCCCCTCCTGAATCAATAAGGAATACACAGGGAAGTTTGTTCACTTCAGCAATTTCCTGGGCTCTGAGTTGTTTTTTAACTGCAATTGGATAAATGGTTCCTCCTTTTACTGTTGCATCATTTGCAACAATAACGCACAGCTGCCCGGATATCTGCCCGATGCCTGACACGACTCCTGCACAAGCAACGCTACCATACTCAAGATCAAGACCAGCAAGTTGTGATAACTCCAGGAAATCTGTCCCTTCATCTAAGAGTTTAGCAAGTCTCTCCCTCACAAGAAGTTTTTTGTTCCTCTTTGTGTGCCTTTCGATGGCTTTTTCACCGCCTCCTAAAAGCGCTACGTTCGTAAATTCCGTAAAAGACCTAAGAATCTCGGCTTTTTCTGATGCTCGTGAAAGAAATGCCGAACTATTTTTATCGACAAAACCGTCAATAGCTTTGAAGTTGATCGCATTCGATGCTGCTCTTACGCCAGCGATTTTAGAGAAATGAGACCCTATTAGTCTCTTTGATACTCTACATAAGCGAGAAATCCCATAGAAGAATGCAGAAGACATGGTATTTTGACGATCACAACCAAAACACAAATGACCAGTGGAGCAATATTAAGATGGTAAATATCTGGCCTTTCTCTTGGAGTGTTGGATCCTCTTGATCGCACAAGAATCGTCACTTAAGTTATCCAAGCATTCGAAAGAGTCCTTGTTTTTGTTTTGAAATCACGAAAGACCTCCAAGGCTAAGGAAGAACGTTCTTTTAAAGGGAATACTTTGCACTAAACTTGAAGGCCGCCATCTTTGATGTTTTGGAGGCCAAGTGGCTAAGTTAGTCATTCCAATGCAACCCAGCCTGCAAACCATAGCCACCCCTTCCCTCGCAGGCTAGGACCCCGTTGCCACAACAGCGCAGTCAGCAATCTCGTTCCCAGGGTCTCTCATCTTTACCGCCCCCTGGAGCGACCCTGGGAACGAGGTTGCGCAGTCAGCGCAGTTGAGGATGCAGGATAATAACACAGATTGAAAGGGATGCCCTTAATCCTTTCCTGGCTCTTGTCATTTCTGACCCAGGCGAGCTGAATGATAATGGCATCTTCACGCGCATTTGGGACCTTACTTGCAATGTAAATTTATAAGATATTTATTCGCGCCAGAAACAATTTTTTTTTTAAAGTTTTTGGGCTCTATGACTAGAAATTTGTATAAGACGTTTCTACGTACTATTTTGGCTAGCATTAGTAAAATACACCGACCTATTTCATTGTATTTTTGTAAAAATACCAGCTCATTGTGCCAAATAATGGCTCAGTGACTGGTGTACGATTAGACTATATGAAATGTATAAACAAGTGCCTCCATTCGGCGCGGAAATGTGCTCGGATATTGGAAAAGCGAACAGTACGCTCGAAAAAAAGTGTAAGCTTTGAGGAATAGATAATGTCCAAGGACAAATATCCCAGCATATTTTCGCACCAAATGGAGGTTATTTTGTTTATTATCCTTCAAATATTTTTCGCAAAACGCGCGGTTTTGAAAACTGGGGAATATCACTCGGATATCCCCCAGTTTTAGTTGGGGAATATTCAGTCACGTGACGCGTTTAGACCAATCGCGCAATAGCGAAAATATTTGATGGATTATAATTAGCTCTTATTAAGCGAACTTAGTGGGTCTCTATGGGAGAATCTTGACCGAGGTCGTGTGTACAGACCGAACGCAGTGAGGTCTGTACACACGACCTCGGTCAAAATTCTCCCATACAGACCGACTAAGCTCGGTTAATAAGATGTTTATTAGTATGGCAAACAAGAACAATTTGATTCGTTTCATGTAACTGGTTTGTACTAGCTGACATTTTGCTTGCCAACGGCGATGAGCCGAACTTAATTCTGCCAAAGTTTGCTCGTCCTCTTTACTTTTTTCTCATCAGGCTTTTTGGCACTTCCATAAATAAATATTATAAGAAGAAATGGTCAATGTTTTTGCATTTTAGGGTGCGTTTCTTTAAGGTGATCTGGATCAGGATCGGTGATCCAAGATCTGTCTGGATCCTGGTGCATCAAAGGAACTGATGAATCCACCCTTGGCAGATGGATTCACAGGTTCCTTTGATGCACCATGATCCAGACAGATCCTGATCCAGATCACCCCAATGGAACGCACCCTAAATAGTTTGCAACTTTTTCACCGCAAAATGTAACTGGTCTAGATGCCGTTTTAGATGGGAAAATCTAGACCGTTTTCAATATCGATTTCAGCCAATCAAATTCGTAAATTCGTATTTTCCAGTCCTTGTGAGACACAGCCATATCATAAAAGTTGGTAATAAAAACAGTACTACACAATTGAGTCAATATTGGTATCTGCCATGCACCATAAATGAGCCTGATGGTATTTATCATGAACCTAGGGGCAAAACTGGATGCCGACACCAGTGATCCAATCCTTGTTTCTAAAGTACGTGTTGAGGTCCAGAAACACAAAAAGGCGAGCGAAAAACATGCATTTCCTTATTTTTTCGAAAAGTCTGTGGCACAGATTTTTTTTATTTTACTTTACATGAATGTTCCTAGATCTCCTTGGGCTTCCCCAAAAAAAGAGCTAGTGACGGAATTACCAACCACCCAGCCCAAGCCCTCTTCCTTTCTTCTCCATCACACAACAAATGGAACCTTCAATCTATCTGTTGAAACATCTCAAGATTGCATAAACAAGAGAAAATTGCTAAATCGTATGACGAATGTAGCATTCGACTGTATAATGTTCGCCCCTTTCTCGACTGTCCCCCTTTTCTTACCTTAACTCCCAGAAGCCTTCTGGTACCCATTCCACACTCGAACACTTTTTCACGACAAATAAGGCGGCCACGTGACAGTTTTTACGAGGCCCCTAACGCTGTGATTGGTCGTCCGATTTCAACCAATAACGGGGCGCTTTTCTTAGAGCCTGGCTAAACTAAGAAACATTGTTGCTGAAACATTATTTCTTGTTATGTTTTCCGGGGTGGCTAAATAAGCGGGAACAAAATGTTTGGCTGTCATTGTGGTTAAACAAGACTTTCAAAGAAATCTGGGGAGACTTTTATTTGTTCCAGGGCTTGTTCCCTCATAATTTGCGATCTCAGAATTTGCCATTTGCTTTTGTAATGTGATGCCTTGTTTCTCTGACATCGATTCGAGAGTAAGCCACTTCCTGTTTGTCACTGGCATGTTCATGCAGTCCCCATGAGCTACATCCCACAAACAGTCATACAAAGCAATGAGTAACTCTAGCTAAACTAGGAAACATAAGTTTCGGATGCAAAATCTGTGTCCGGGAAGCAAAATTGTTCTTGACCTGAGGCAAAAACATTTTCTTGTTTCCGAGCAGCAAAATTTGTTTTCCGCAAAATATGTTTCCCAGCGGCTAAACAGGGAAGTTTCCGTAACAATGTTTGTGGAGCCATAGCCAAGCCTGTACAATGATCCATCTTTTAGGAAAGCTTAAAGGATCTCAGTCAAGGTTTGCGCATATTGAAAAGTTTAGCCTCAATTTTGCAAATTCGTCGTTTGTGATCCGTGTTAATCTTCTCCATCCTTAGCCATCCTTGTTCCTTTATGGTTTATCATTATCTCTTTGGTGTTTTCTATCTTAATAAACTGATATTTTAAGGTTTCCTACTATTTAATGTAATTTTGTTTGTGGCCAAAATAACTCAAAATACTGCGACTGAGCTCCTTTAAAGTTTTACTTAAATGATTTATTAGCAGAGAACACCTAATATTTCCGTGGATGGCTTCTAAGTAACTTAATCTCGTAGTAATAAAAGAGGTATTAGAAACACATTTTTAAACTGACATTAGGGATGAAAGCAGCAAAGTAACGTGTTTTAACGCCAGCTGTTTTAATACTTGTTGTGAAAAAGGAGTTGATTATCAACCAGAAGTCGATAAAGTTTTTTTTATAAAAATCTATTTTATAAGAATATCGAAGGTAAAATTTGCATAACTTAACAAACCCGACGCTGAGATTTTGAAAAGAATATAATTTTGTGTGTTGAAAATTTGTAAATACAATACAATTATATGTTTTTAACTAAACCGTATAAAATTCCTCCTNGACGCTGAGATTTTGAAAAGAATGCAATTTTGTGTGTTGAAAATTTGTAAATACAATACAATTATATGTTTTTAACTAAACCGTATAAAATTCCTCCTTTCTCTAGACGGCAAAGCTAGCCTAAAAGAAACAAAAAACAGCACTAGCTGTATGTTCAATGCTCGTAACATTTCTGCAAGAAGTTATGTGCGTCAAATCAGGCTTTAATACCTGCCGGCTGGCTCCAAAATTACTTTAACGCTATCCAGACACCAAATACATTCGAAAACAGAAATGCCATACGCTATAAACTGAGAAAATCCACAAGAATATTTTCAACCTAAAATCGGCAGAAAAATAAGAATATTCAGCCTGGGTTGGAAAAAAATATTCGTATAAAGAAAGAGTGCAACTACCTAAATAAACGAATTTGAAAAGGCTAAATTTTCGAAGGGACCATTATATCTTTTGTTCAGAATTGTGACGCTTGGAGGAAATGCAAAACAATTGTTACAAAGAGTCCATGAGTAATTTTCTTCCTTCAGTTATTTACATATTTGACTCAAAAAATGTGCAAAAACTCAAGTTTGAATACAAATTAGAAAACTTAATTTACATGGAGTAAAGTCGATATAACATGAACTAATGCTTATAAAGAAATAGTTTTTTCCTATAGTCATAGAAAAGAGCGCTATTGAAACAGATTTGGTGATTTCTTTTGTCCGACAGTAGGGTAAATGAAAAGCACAGCTTGAGCTCAGAAAGGTACGGGTGAAATACAATGTCGTTAAATGCAAGACTCATTTGGCGAAGTTCTCCTTTTATAAGTTGTTTTCCATCAAAAATTGTCGAGAAAAATTGCCACCACTGAACATTCACTACACATCAAAATAAATATTAGTTTACTCTGTCATTTGTATTTTCCATGCAACTGTAATACGGTGCTGTAAATTTGGCAGTAGTGAAATTCCCTACAGTTACAATCGTTCCAGCTGGAATATGTTTAGATTGAGCGAGGTTCAAGGTTAGTTTCTTACCAACCATCTTGCTTTGTGAATAATTATATATATATATAGTATAGTATAGTATAGTATAGTATAGTATAGTATAGTATAGTATAGTATAGTATAGTATAGTATAGTATAGTATAGTATAGTGGTATAGTGGAGTACGTAAACATTGCTCTTGATGGCCCCGTTAGGATTTTGACATAAAAAACCAAATGGTATAAACCATCAATCAGTCAACTTCGCTGTGTTAGTACCGTTAGACAGATTAAGTATTCTAGGATTAAAGAATTTATCTGTATGATATTTAAGTGTTAAGATGGAGCTGTACCGACTTCCCAACCGATATACATACTTAAAATAACAATGTTCTCAACCCTTAATTAGAAAACAAATGTATTTGCATTAATGTCCCTATTTCTCTCTTGCTTTCTTTGGCAGGTTAAGTGCAAAAGTTTCAGCGTCTCGTTTGAGAAGTCTGCTCAAATACCTGTGAATTTTTCTAGACCTGAAAAAGATTATCAATGGATTAAGACTCGAGTTTAGGAGGTAAAAGGTTACAGCAAATGGATGTAGAATTTTCGCTTGATACTTCATAACGTTAAAAGTTAAACAAACTTGAACCGCTAATAATGGTACATAGCTTAAAATGACAGCACCAACTACTAAAAACACTGTATTTACGCTTTTAAAATCTTGTCTCACGGGTCCTCTGGTCACAGCTTGCATCTGGCAGCAAATATTTTTCTTGTGACGCCGAGATATGCTGGATATTTTGATATAACAAAAAATAATGACAGACAAAACTGCCGACATCAAGATGATCTGAGAAACTTTGATCAGAGTCAACGGGTAGGATGGAATAAGCCGCGTTGCGGGCAATACGGCACTTATAGCCCAGCTGATAATAATGGCCTGGATTGCTCTGGCTTTGGTCATGATGGCGTGATAGCGAAGTGATTCTACGATGCAAATATATCTGTCTATTGTGATGACAGCAATGTTCAAGCAAGATGAGTATGTTAAGAGGGAACCAACATAGAAGTGAACGTTTGAAAGACTGATAGAGGAGCATTTTTTTCCGATTAGGGTACACACACAGGCGACGCCATGCAACGGTTGGACTAAGAGACCAATCAGTAAGTCAGCGACAGCAAGAGATGCCAGTAGGAGATTGGAAGGAACACGGCGAAGCTGTGAATATTTGGTGATAACGATGAGTAACAGGCTACTTCCTCCAATGGATAGAATAGGCAGAATTGTGGTAAACACAGCTCCGATTACAGAAAGAAGGAAACTAAATTCACGTACATTTTGCCAACGAGAACCTAGAGTATCTCCATCCAATGATGGTGCTGTGTTGGCCATACTGTGGTCTGCTGTGGTCTTATACGACCTCTTTGTATAACAGTTTAGTTCGCTGAACTGTTCTCGTGGAGCTTTTAAATTATCATGGCATTAGCTTCGTCTTCGTATTATTTCATTTTGCTGCCTTTTAACATTTCACCTGCTTCAGCTAAGACCTCAATTAGTGTGAGATTGTTCCTTCTTTCCACTAGTGCCGTGTTTTGAACGGAAAAAACACGAATGAGCTACCATGCCA